TCTGAGCCAGTCATCCAGACCATTCAGAGGTCTGGGCACTGCTCTTATTAAAGAGTCCGTCAAGAGGCAGAACTCACCCGATCAAGAGGATGGAGGAGGTTACAGGAAACCCAATAATAAAGACAGATTTGAATGAAGTGAGGATGGTTAAGTAGAAGAAGAGACACTATACGAAAATGATGTCTAGACCTCCTCAGCCCTACTAAACTGAAGTCTACAGGAATGGGGCTCAGACTTCTGTATTTTGCAAAAGCTGTCCAGGTGATTCTTATATACATCAACATTCCGTTCTGCTCTAGGGAAGAGGTTCTTCTTTTAAAAATAATTTTTTTTTTACATGTATTCATTTTTGAGAGACAGAGAGAGACACAGCACAAGTGGGGAAGGGCAGAGAGAGAGAGGGAGACACGGAATCCGAAGCAGGGTCCACGCTCTGAGCTGTCAGCACAGAGCCTGACACAGGGCTTGAACTCACAAACCGCGAGACCATGACCTGAGCCGAAGTAGGACGCTTAACCGACTGAATCACCCAGGTGCCCCATCTAGGGAAGAGGTTCTTAAACTTTAACATGCATCAACATCTCCTGAGGGGTAATTAAAGCGAGTGCCAGGCCTTACCCATAGAGTTTCTGATTCAGTAGGTCTAGAGAAGTGCCTGATGGTTTGTATTTTATTTTACCAAGATTTACTCACCAGGCCATCTTTTCTCTCTCTGCTCGCAGAGACTAAGACACCATGTGTCAAAAGAAAGCTATGTCTCTGTTTTCAATAACATTTTCTTTTCCTCAAACCAAAACACAAACTCCATACCAAACTCAGTTCTAAGCTTAAAAGTAATGCCTTTAAAAACAGCATTGCAGTTCCAACCAAACCCCATAGGGGGTGTCAGTCAGCCAACGGGTGCTTTTGTAAGCACCCAAACCCTTCTCTGCGTCAGTAGGTTTGCTTACAGAGGTGCACTTTTCTGTCTGGCAAAACAGAGAAAGACAAACTCAGTGTGAGAACAGAGTGTAACTGCTGACGGTTTAAAAAAACAAAACAAAACAAAACAAAAAACCCAAACAAACAAGAGAAACAAGTCCTATCTCCCAGCCCCATGGCCTGCTTAAAATGTTTCATTCCACGCTTTTGTCTAGAACATCATGATCTGTTCATTTATATTTTAACCAATTTATGGAACAGAAAAAGGTGAGGTAAAAGTTGACTGGACTGAAATTATACCCTTAGTCACTTGAAATACTCATTTTGTACTTCATCATAATTATTGTGATTGTGTTTTTAAAACATACAAAGAACAAGACTGTGGGTTGGTCAGACTTCTACAATAAGGTACCCAATTATGTACTATAGAAACTAGCATAAAGTTGCATAAAAAAAGATCTTAAATGGGAATAATGACCTTAATATCTTAACTTGGAAACAACCCATTTATTTATTGCTCAGCCAGCAAGGACAGGCTAACTCTTCGGTGGAGCAGATAGGGTGAGTACAACTACATCCAAAGATTCACCTTTCCTAAGTCATGCCATTCTCATGCAATCTGTCTAAAACGGTATCTTCGAAACTTCCCTATAAGGTTAAAAAGGGACCTTCCACATTCAGCTCAATATACTAGCCTTACATGTTAATACTGAACTGTTTATGCTATATCCATTAAATACTTTTTAAATAGTCCTGAAGTTTTACTATCCAAATCTTTTTTTTTTTCCCCTAAGATTTCATTTTTAAGTAATCTCTCCACCCAACATTGGGCTCGAACTCACAACCCCAAGATCAAGAGTTGCCTGCCCCACTGACTAAGCCAGCTGGGCACCCCCAATCTAAACTCATTCTTCCATAGTCCTTCCATTACTAAACCATTTTGTGTTCTCTAAAATAGAATTATTCGGGGGCACCTGGGTGGCTCGGTCAAGCGCCTGACTCTTGATCTTGGCTCAGGCCATGGTCTCGTGGTTGGTGAGATCGAGTCCTATGTCGGGCTCTCTCTCTCTCCCCACTCTCACAATAAATAAACAAACTTAAAAAAAATAATAAAATAGAACTATCCTGAGATACTTTTAAACATATGGAAGTTTGTTTGATAATTTCCACTGTAAATGACATTTGATCATTAATCAAAGATTCCCTGTATCTGTTCCTTCACTAAGGCTGTGAGTTCTAGGTTTCCTTCTAGAAGTCATCTGACTGTATGTTGAGTAGTAAGAGCCAGCATTCCTCCCTTATCATCCTTCCGCAAATCTTAAAGTTTATAGTTGGCACAACGTCTGGAACAAAATTCACAGGCTAACATTTTGCCCTAAAAGGCTTTCATGATTTCTGATCTAAAACATTCAGGACTGACCTGAGGACTTGATTCCACTCTGGGGTCGATATGGGTGTGGATCAGAATGGACACAAAACCATTCAGTGAGTCCCTGAACCAGTGTGGCTTCTTCCTTGTTTTTCTTTTGGCCCTGAGGGATTAAGGTCAGGCAGTATTCGGCACAGCTGGGGAATGACATTTACTTAGTCATTTTACCCCAAGATCCAGCTCACAGCAAGGCTTCCTTAGAGTATCATCATTGGGGAAATTCCCTGAAGTCAAGGTCTGAGTTTAGTCATCTCTGGATTTCCTCCCCACCTGGTTAGAGTGCTCTAGACACAACAGACACTTAGCATTCAGTTGGCAAACAAGAGTGAAGACTGGTGTTTTGAGAATGGCTAAAAGGCTAAAAACAAAAAGAATGACCTTGGCCTGCCTCTTCTCTTTGTAAGTCATATCCCCCTTTATCTATCTCGTTTCTGTCTCAAGTCCCACTTCGAACTATCCTGATCATCCGGGACCCTAGGTCTTCCTCTCTGAAACATCAACAGGATTCTGTACACTGTGTTGTTTTCAGCCCATGATGTCACAATAGCCTACTACGTATGCTACTGTTGCTATTTAAGTGCCCCTCAACTCTGTGAGTGCTCTGAGGGCAAGGCCAGTCTATCACTGTTTTACAGACCCACAGTGTATATAATGCTGTGCCCCAAAGAGATTTTTTAAAATAATGAAAGACTACAAAAGTGAACAATGCCCCCTTGTCATTGTTTTGAAAAGTAAAATAAATCTAGTTGTATAAATTAGACAAAACAGATTGGTAAGAAAGAAAAAGAATAAGGGTGATATGATCTGGCAAGATGGGGCTTTTGTATCTTCGAGTGCATTAGCTGATTTCTTTCTTCAGCTTCTGGGAATATAAAAAAGGTAGTCTGTCAGACCACAGAACGAGAAAACACAGTAGAAAAAAAATAAATGAGATGATACATCCTTTTCTAGCAGCAAGTTTGTTAGCCCATCCTTCACTCCCTCCATCCTACCCCAAGAAGAACCACTTTTGCTGGATGGCACGATTGATGATGACTGAAATTGCAATGCATACTTACTGCGCACCTAATATGTACTGTTGGCTTCTAAGCATTTAACATTTGTGTATTAACGCCTTACAATATGCTTATGAAGGAAAGAATCTTGTCCTCATTTTATGGAAAAAAGAAACTGAAACACAGAGATGGTAAGTAAGCCTCCTAAAGATATAGCTGATGACCTGAATCTGAATCTATACATTTCCCTCCTCAAGAAACATTTACAAACATTCCTTGGTTTACGATAGGGTTACATCTCAACAAACCCATTATAAGATGGAAATATTACAATTCAAAAATGCATTTAATACACCTAACCTATTGAACACTGTAGCTTAGCTTAGCCAATGTAAACACTTAACATTAGCCTACAGTTGGGCAAAATCCTCTAACACAAAGCCTATTTTATAATAAAGTACTGACTCTTTCCTAAAATATACTGAACACCGTACTGAAGGTGAAAACCTGAATGGCTTATGGGCACAGAGTGGTCGTGAGCACGTCGGTTGTTGACCCTACTGACCGCGTGGCTGACCGGGCGCCGTGGCTCACTGCCACTGCCCAGCGTCAGGAGTGACAGCTTCAAATCATGTAAGCCCCAGCCCAGGAGATGATCAAAACTCAGTTCCTACTGATTTGTGTATCGCTTTCACACCACTGTAAATCAGGACTGTCTGTAACCTGACCAAGGGTTAGAGGGCACACCCGAGTAACCACAGACGGTTCCTGTGCTCCTCTTACGCTAGTCGTGCCCTTTTCGTCTTGAGGGAGTTGAGGCAACTTGGAGACAGAGCTAAATAATTTGAAATTTTAAGAGGCTGTGTTGGAGACAAAGATGGAAGGTGAGGTGCCTGGCTGGGAGAGGACTCCAGGGGAAAGAAAGAATGCAGATGCCAACTGAGCTTTGCTCAGTAATGTGTAATGTAACTTTTTCCTCTGGCCCCTTGTGAAAGGCTGAGTAAAAAGCTACATCACAAATGCTTTGTAACATTGTGTCTGCTTTGGGGAATGAAAAGAATGGTGGAACCCAGCTTCAGAGGTGGGCAAGTCCACAGAGAGGACAGAGGGTGCCCACAGAGTGACATGAGTCACAGTAAAAGTATAAGGAAAAGTGGTTGCTAAGAGACCAAGAGGGAGGAACTAATTTAAAGCAGTAGGTGAAATTCTCCCTCGAGGGTTACGAATTGTATAAATTTGTAATAGACTCACAAAGTACAAAGCAATACAGGCTTTAAAGCTGTATTTTTCATTTACGGGGCACCTGGCTGGCTCAGTCGGTTAAGTGTCTGACTTCAGCTCAGGTCATCATCTCACAGTTTGTGGGTTCGAGCCCGAGCCCGGCGTCTGGGCTCTGTGCTGACAGCTCAGAGCCTGGAGCCTGCTTCGGATTCTGTGTCTCCCTCTCTCTCTGCCCTTCCCCTGCTCACACCCTGTCTCTCAAAATTGAATAAATGTTAAAAAAAGAAAAAAAAGCTATATCTGCATTTAGTACTCTTAAATATATTAATTAAGAAGGATTAGAATTCAGTCGTTTGGCCTTTAGAACCTGAAAGGTCTATAGCTCCAAGTGCTGATGTGTTCATGCAGCTCTATTTCTGCTTCCCTGCACTCACCGATAGGTGGTTTCTGGAAGGAGGTCTTTTATAACATGGGTGGTGGTATTGCCCACGGTGATGCTAGTGTCTCCAAGGTCAATATTGTAAGCGAGGATTTCAGATCCATTATTGCACGGCTCTTCCCAGTTCAGTACAAGGCACACAAAAGGTGAATCAGGGTAGGCATTGAGGGTCTCCTCCTCCAGAACACAGAGAGTGGAGACAGGGTCAGGGGCAGATGCTGGTGTCTGGCAAAGGACAAGCTCACTATACGGTCCTGCTCCAGCTTGATTGACAGCCTAAAAAGACAACAGCAAGACAAAGTCCACATTACCCCACCGTAAATTCTGAAGCCTCCGTGTTAGGCGCTGTTACAGAAATCTGACGTAATACACAATTTACTTCTAGAAATACAGGTAGAAAGAAATCTCAGAAAACGTTCGCTTTAATGACCACGTTCCAAAAAACCGCCAAAGACACCTTCTCTGTTAATAAAGCAGAAGATAATATCACCATCGTCACCTTTTATAAAACATAACTTTAAAACAACACTTTGTATTTGCCTGGCCCACTTCAGGCTATATATGGTCCTGTGGCATCTTCACAGTTACTGTGGGGTGGACACTAAATGGCAAGTCTTCTTCTAGTCTTTTCCATGTGCACGAGTAACTCCTATCCATGGCCATTCTGACTCTATCACCTCCTAGTCTCCCCCTCACTTACTCTGCTCCAGCCACACTGGCTTCCTTGCTGTTCCACGGGGACACCAAGTGTGCTCCCACCTCAGGGCCTTCGCAAATTGCTGCCCCTCCTGTCCCGGAACCTTTTTCCCTAGACATCTGCACAGCTTGCTCAAGCATCTTCACGTCTTCTCTCAAGTGCTGCCTTACAGTGAGCCCTCTCTGGACACCATGTTTAAATCTGCGGTCACCCTACCCCACCCTCACCCCCTGTGATCCTCATTTCCTATTTCCCTTCTTTATTTTTCATCACCACGTTTATCACCACCATGAGAATGTAAGTTGCATAAAGGTAAAGTTGTCTGTTTGGCTCACTGTTGTATCCCCCAACAGCTAGAACAGCGTCTGATACAGAGTATGTGCTCAATAAATGTTGTTAAACTTGTATTTTTTTCCCTTTAAAAACATTTAGCAGCCTCCTTACAAAAGCGAATGCACTCTAAACTCTAGTTCTCATTTAATTCATAGGAGAGTTTAGAAGGACAAATTAGAGAACTAAACAAAAGTAGTCTGAGCTCTTAAAGGTTCAAAACAAAAGTTACAACACTTAGGTACTACTGTTAATCTCAAAGAAGTTCAGAGCATCCATTTGCTAACAAACCACTTGTGAAACTCTACTGTAATATTTTCTCATACCTACTTCTATTTCATGACAATACTCCAACTCTCTTTTTTGGTAAAATTTTAATGTCATGATTTACGTTAAGAATATATATAGAGATTTCATTCTTTTTTTTTTTCAACGTTTATTTATTTTTGGGACAGAGAGAGATGGAGCATGAATGGGGGAGGGGCAGAGAGAGAGGGAGACACAGAATCGGAAACAGGCTCCAGGCTCCGAGCCATCAGCCCAGAGCCTGACGCGGGGCTCGAACTCCCGGACCGCGAGATCGTGACCTGGCTGAAGTCGGACGCTCAACCGACTGCGCCACCCAGGCGCCCCAGAGATTTCATTCTTTAAGACAAATTTATCACAGGGGCAGAAAAATAAGACATCATGAAGCTCCATGTTCGTATCAACCATGTACCAGAAGGAAAACACACGGCTTTTAGAGTTGCAGCTTAGTTCAAGTCTTGATTCCATTATTTACTAACTGTGCAGTTAGTAGGCATACACATATGTATGCATGTTGTGTGATCTTAGGCAAATTAGGATCTTCTGAGCCTGTTTCCTGAGATGTAAAATGGAGACAGCAACACCTAATTCATAGGATCACTGTAAAGATTAAATTGGTCAACATGAAAAATCCTGGCCGTTAGCCAGTGCATCCCTTCTGGGGAAGGCCAGAACAAAAGAGCATTTTCTTTTCTGTTAAAAAAACAAAACAAACAACTTTCCTTAAGTTTTGAACTAATTTTAGATTTACAGAAATATTGTAAAAATAGTACAAAGAAACTTGTGTATATCTCTCACCTTTCATTCCCTAATGTTAACACCTTATACAACTACAGATCACAACCACAAAATTAATATTGATATAATACTATTAACTACATACAGATCTGATTCAAACCTTACTAATTTCTCCAGCAATGTTCTTTTTCTATTCCAGGATCCCACTCTGGATCCCATATTCTTTTACTACCTTCATTTCATAAGAAATGTTTTCTTGATTTATGCTACTTATTATGACCAGTTTTCAAAAAAAAAAAAAAAAAAAAAAAAAAAAAAAAACAAATAATTTGGAAGATCTCTCTCTCTCTCTCTCTCTCTCTCTATTTATTTATTTATTTGGGGGCAGGAGAGAGAGAGAGAGCGCTCTCCAGGCTTGATCTTGTAAACCCTGAGATCATGACCTGAGCTGAAATCAAGAGTTGGACACTGAACCGAAGGAGCCACCCAGGAGCCCCTCAGAAGAATCTTTTAATAAAATAAATAAAAGCATGCCTCTAATATATAGTATGTCTCATGTGAACAGTACTATTTTGGTACTTGTTAACTAAAATACCCTTAAGGAAGCATATCAAAGTGCAAAAATTCTTGAGCAAAACAAGAAATGTTTTACCCAATTTTTATAAAACACAATATAAGTATTACAATGATTTAATTTTAAGATGCCAAATATTCAAAAAACGATTTGTCTGACTTTGCAGTGTGTTAAGTAATATTAATTCATGAAAATAATTCATATTTGGCCTACATGTGCCAAGTAAGTCAATTTAGGTTGAGGAGAGCCCTCTCCTGACAAGACGGTACTTCTTTTGCATAGTAATGGTGGTCTGAAAAGAACTACCCCCTTCACAGGGTCTGATTCATTTTATGACAAACAGGTATGGACATCTGAAAATGTTTTCTACTCCTCACTTTCAAACCAGGGAGGCAAAATTCTTATGCAGGCTCTATTCCTACTCTATTCAATGTATGTTTTAAAATGCCATTTGGGGGAGTCAGTGCTAAGTGACAGCATATACCCTGAAGGGGAAAAAAGAAGAACATTTTCAGGAGAGACCCAAAACTCAAAAAGCATAGTGAATTTTTTTTTCCTGTGGTGGCAGACAGTTCTTTATTTATATCCTGCCTTGTTCCAAAAACAGGAGTGTAGCACATATTTTATAACCTTTTCCCAATGACTCAGCACAGCTATTATAAAGATCAGATAATGTGCCGTGACCCTGAGTCACTGACGAGTTAATTATGTCCCAGGTGCTCTATTCAAGAAGGAAGGAACATGTATAACAAAAGAGTTTAATCAGAATGTTTATGAAAAAGCAGCCTTCAGAATTTAACAGAGAAGCTTCAGTTGATCTGGAAAATTAATTTATGAAGGGAGTATTTTCTCCAAAGAGGTCAGAGACACCGATATGTTCATGGACTTGTAATCAGCAATTTGATTCATGACTTAAATCAGGTGGAAACCTAAATCTGGCATCTCTGCCTTTTTATCTATTTAAATCTAAACATGTGTGAAGACAGAGTTCTCCAAGGTCAAGAACCACATCTGACTAATCTTGGTATCTCTCCTCTTGATCAGCCTGTTCACCCTTTGATTCTGGCACAAAGTGGTGCTCAAACTATGTTACCAAACAAATGGAAAGAAATGGACAAAGAACCCTGTTTTCTAAGGACAATTAAGGCTTTACAACGGGGAAAAAAATAATCACTTATCCAAGTCAATAAAAGTAAACTCATGACTACTGTCACTTTTAGGGGTTAGGCTAAGAAGCCAACTGTTCTTCATGTTACTCTATTTGTAACCAGCCTTGATAATAATGGTCACTGAGAAATGGGAGGTGGATCTTGTCATCTAATGCAGCCTAGTTCAAATCACTCTAATGTTTGTTTCTGGCTCCATTTAACAACTGGCATACACGTCTTGTGTCTTTTGCCAGTCTTAAGCGTCTTTCCCACTGAAACATGCATCTCAGGGGAATTCACAGAGAAGGAACCTTCCCTAAGGAGCTGTGACTGACCCCTCGGCCCTGGATTTGGTCACTTATTCAGTGAGTTCACAGACAGGACACAAGGGTGGAAAAAAGGAGAGTGGTGCAGAATTGGATTTTGTCCTTCTGCTACAGGACCTCCCAGAGAAGCAGACATTAATTATAAGACCAAAACAATTCAATTTATTTTCATTTAAAAGGACTCTTCATTCCATATCATCCATCTTGATAGTCTCCATCACAAGCCTTTGGGTCACTGCCCCAGAGTCCTTCATGGAACACCTGGGTCTATGAGTAACATCGGAGTCATGTCAACCTACCTGTAGTCTACAGCAATATTGTGCGGCGGGCAACAGGTCCCTTATCTCAAAGCCGGTATCTGTCCCGTGATAAATGAGTTCTAAGGATTCTTCATCTTCTCCCCATTCCAACCTGTACTCTGAGATGTCGGCACCAGAGCTTTCTGGACTCTGGAAAGCAGAGATTTAAGTAGTTAATTTCACTGAAAAGGAAAATCCCATGATGTTTGTGCTCAACTAACTAAACTTAGGGAAACAGAGCAACATGCCCCTGGGTATTTCAAATACATGGAAGAAAAAGGCATGAAAGAGGTACTCGATTTCCTCTCAGTTCTAACCAGTGGTAAAATTTCCACAACTCCAAGCGATAGAAGCAAGTGCCAAGAGAGATTAATGTGTAAAATCACCTACATGTGAATTATAGCTTTGTAGGTTCCTCGTAACTTGCATTTGGGGGCAGATAAAGTACAAGAAACAGAAATCGATGCAGAACACGTGCCTGACTTACCTCCCAACTCACTAGGACACATCCATCAGGCGTAAAAGAAATACAAGGTGCTTTGCACTGTCCAGGAGGCCCTGCAGCAGTGGTAATTTCTGAGACATCAGAATAGGGGCCATACTGAAAGGGAAGAACACACACATGCCTGTATGTATAGTGTGAACACACACGTGTGTGTTCACACACAAGCTTATAACCAAATAAGGGCTAGACAGACTAACACCATCATCAGTACAACTGATTAAAAAATATTGCCTAAAGGTTTTCACTTTCAATTGAATGTGCATAAGGTTTCTTCCTACATACACTCTCTGAGGGGTAGATGTCTATTATGTATGTATTATTTCTTTTTATTCAAAAGGATCAGAAAGTTGGTGTACCAAACATTTCCCCTTTATTGTGCCATCAGAAACAAAACCATGCTGATTTTTGACGCAGCATGGCATTCTGTTTCAACATGTCTCCCAGGACAGTAAAGAAAACTAAGTCAAAGATAACTAAGTCAGACGTACACTGCAGCTTAATTTTTAGCACACAAAAATCGACTCGAAATTGGTTATCCAATTCTGTGAGCCGTCAGCACAGAGCCAGATGTGGGGCTTGAACTCATGAATCACGAGACTGTGACCTGAGCCAAAAACAGATGCTTAACCGACTGAGCCACCCAGGCGCCCCTGGGTAACTTTCAATGTAACAGGAATAAATTCAGGCTGATGATAATATTTTTAGATGATAAATTAGATGATAAATTAGATAAATTAGATGATAAAAAATTTCTTCTTTGACAGAAAGTAAAACTCGGAGCATCAGAGTGGCATATTTATCTTTGTTATGGCAGAGATGCCCTGCACAGCTGACAGGGAAAAGAGCAAAAACACCAGTAAAACATTTTCTGCAGCATCTGTGGTCATCACCTGCCACTGCTTTTTAATTATGTAAGCTCAGGTGCATCAGCTTTCTTATCTTCTCATCAAAACATTGTTATTGGTTAGATCCACTCTGGTTGTCGTCGTCGTCTTCTTTTTTTTAAATTTAGATAGTTGTACTGTGTCTGAATTTCTTTCCTAGCTGGGAATTAGAAGGAATCCAGCTCCTGCTAAAGGTTTGAGATGCTACTTCAGACCAAGTGTTTTCACAGTGTGGCCAACAGGAAATAGACTGGAGACCCACGCATGTTCCTCTGCCAGGCTTGCACAGGGCTACCGAGAATGAGAGAAAATCACCAACTTCATGCAGCTCTCAGTTGTGCTTTCTTATTTGTAAAAATCCCATCAATTAATTATATCTACTTATTTACATGGAACCCGTCTGTACAAATCACGAGTATACCTGGCAGTGGGGAGGGGTACAGCAGCAGCCTGCACCAGAAAGACAGTTTCTGGTTACCTTGTTCTCATCATGAATCCCACCCCCCCAAACCCACATTACTCTGCGATTTAAAATAGGGGTGTAATCTAGGGGCTCAGTCAGTTGAGTGTCTGACTTCAGCTCAGGTCATCATCTTGTGGTTTACAGGCTCGAGCCCCACATCGGGCTCTGTGCTGGCAGCTTGGAGCCTGGAGCCTGCTTCGGGGGTTCTGTTTCCCTTTCTGACCCTCCCCTGATCGTGGTCTGTGTCTCTCTCTCTCTCGCTCTCAAAAATAAATAAAACATTGAAAATAAAATAAATACAATATGGGTATAATCTAGACACAGACTTCCAATCTACGATGGGCTGAGAAGAGTTCTCCGGTCTTCATTTGAAACAAAACAAAAACCAGAAGCTGGCCTCCCTGGCCTCTACCCCACTCCAGTTCTAAAAACTGACCTGAGATATTGCTGCGTATAGAAGGGCAAGGCTTCTATAGCTGGGTAAGAAGGAAATTGTTTTGAAAACAACCCAAAATAGCTAAAGCGTGATGTTCTTTCTTAGTAACCTTGAACTCTTTCTTAACAGAATGATTTGAAGACAGAAATTTCTAATGCTGGGTCAATATGAAGTCACAACAATGTATCAATTCAGAAATGAGATTCACATACCCTTCTTTAATGGCTACCAAGGCTGGATAGATACTGCTGAGGAATTTCGGGGGGGAGGATACGGAAGTGTCAGCACCTTGGTATTCTGGTTATGGTGCACAAGCCTGTACTCACCCCTCCGTCATTCAGAGCCCTCACCCGGAAACGATACACAGTTCCGGGGAGCAGGTTGCCCACGGTGCACTCGAGCTCTGGCCCATGGTACACCTCCGAAGCCACATCCTCGGGTTCCGTCATCTCCACACTGTACTCTGAGACCTCACAGCCACTTTCTGAGGCAGGAACGTCTGGGAATGGAGAACGCTTTTCATCTTAGAACATTTTTATGCTTCCAGTTGAGCAGCTCACACCTGGTTTCCCACAAGGTTTGTAACACATCGTGTGGCCGGCTGGTCCTCAGTATCTCTCCTACAAAAAGGAACCCTCCCCTCCCCCCAAAAGAAAAGCGATACGGAAGAAAAAGTTTCTGAAGGATGTTATCCGTACTTTCCAAACTACATCTAAGTACATTCAATTACTTCAACAAAATAATTTGGAAACAACAGAACCCCTTGGCAAATGTCTACACTGTAAGACAAGGAAGAAACAGAGGGAGAAAATCTCTCTAACTTAAAACCAAAGGCCACGTTAAATCAAGATAAATGACCCAAGGTTGGCACAATATTTTATGACGTTGTAGACATGAGTAGTGGCAAAAAAACAGTCTGATGGAGTTCTGCAGGTTTGTATTTGCGAGTTTACATGCTGCAAACTGCTGTCACAACAGGAAATGCTTGTACAGCTCAGGGCCCACATGTGACAAAAGACGAGGAGAATCAGAGGTTACCTTACGAACCTCGCTTTAATCTCTACATTGCACGCAACTTCGCTTTTGTGAATAGGGTTGAAAAACTGGGAAAGACTGGCTGCTGTGCAAGATTTTCTAGGCAAGTGTCCTCCGAAGGACAGAGAATGCCCAGTGAGCGTAGCTCCCTCAGGATGAGCGACGGCGTGCCGCAGAACACAAACCCAAGCCAACACACATCAGACAGACAGTGGACATTTTCAACAGGAAGGACTATGGTCGTTAGCAGACTGCCAACTTAATCACAAAGCATTAAATCTCCAATTCCACCTCCAGTTGTCCCAACCGTCAATGTCAACGTGAAGATTTGTTCACTCACCCCACTCTAAGTGGACTTCTTTGTGCTTTGGTCTACCCAAAACCCTCGGTGGTCGACACTGACCTGGTGCAATGCTTAGTGTGCGAGCAGGGAGACTTTCAGAGCACTGCAGGAGAAACACCGGAGAGAACCATCTCTTAGTTACTGTGAATTCACCAGACCTCTACATCCCAGGCAGATCCTACCCTGTAACTGAACATGCTGCCCAAAGGGGATCACACGGTGAATGTGCACACTTGATTTCTGTGCAGAAGGGTCTTCTCTCGTGTGCGTGTCAGGCGTGAACATACGCTGCATGTGGCACTGGTAAAAATGCTTATTTATGAAGTCAGATTCGTAGCCACGGGTTGTGTATTCTAAGCACACAACTGCTTTCCTTTAAGCCAAAATTAGAGAGATCTGTCGTGAGGACAGAAGAGAACACAAAACAACAGCTGGATGACATTTTTAAATGGTGCTATAAACGGTGAAACTATCCACATACGGGGGCAGAAGAGCAAATAAATTCAGTATTAATCAACTGAGTCTGACATTAACCGGCAGGTTCTTTTAATGCTAAAATAAGCGGGCCTCCTTTTAGGAGCTGATTGTGCAAGGCTGGGGATGTGGAAGTCGACTGTCTGCAAGAGGAGAAAACAAGGTGCAACTCTGCAGCCTGGCCAGACTCCTCCCTTTTCCCTGAGAAGAAGTGCTGCAGGGGAGAGGTACCCTAGCCACCTCACACAGGAGGTGCCTGCTGACCCTCTGGGGCCAGGATGTGGGGACAGCCCACCCAGGGAAGCACTACAGAGAGCTCTGGCGCTGGACGGTGGTCTAACTGGACCTTCTTTTCACAGTCTATGTGGGTAGCCTAAACATCACGGCACTGCTATCCTTGCGGGAAAAAGAAAAACACAGGACACCAGTGGAGGTGTGCTGACTGCTGACTGCAAAGCCAGGCACCCTAACGGCAAGTCTTCTTGAGAAACATAAACCCGGCACAGGGCTATAAGCTACCGACTCTCACTATTAATGGTTTCAAACCATGATGTGAAACATCCCTACGATGAAAATGGCTTTTTACCATCTTGCCTTTCATTCATTTCTGAATGCGCGTTACAGCCAGTTAGTATCTGATTTCTAGCGCACTCCCTGTGTATTTCTGAGGTTATTTTAAGCCTATGAGAACCCTGTGTGGTCGAAACCAAGGCTCCTGACATGTTAGCCGATCTCAGGTCAAGTAAAGAGCGGAGAGCAAGGGATATGCTGCTGCCTACAGGTGTGTAAGTTGGGCACTGCACAACTGCAATGGTGTCACTCAGCTCAGTCGTCATAGATTTGTGTGGTTTTTCCAGCAGATGGCAGTAAAGCACCTTGGGGAAGGCGCATCCCCTGTTCTCACAAAACTGCCAGGTTTGGTAACAGCAGAGCTGTGCAGGAGGTCACGTCTTTTTGACCCTGAATTCTATGCTTTTCTAGCACTGCAATAACTCAGGTTCTTCTTATTTAGCGAGACGAATTCCGGACAACACTCAATTTTCAACCGTCACCTGGGATCATGCCAAAGTCTTCCGAGAAATCACTAAGTGACAAACGCGCCTTGACAATTCCACAGTTTAGCTGAGAATCACCCGGGCCTATCTTTCATGTCCTCCGAAAACGCAACTGGAAAAAACTCTTGTTTTCATTTCCTGATGTGACCCCGTGGCAGGCTGTGCTGTGACGATGCATTCTAAGAGAGTAATTGTCTCGTGATGTTACAGAGTGGCTGTCTGAACCCGACCCAAGAGGTTTTCCTTTCGCGCCACGGCAAAACCGACCTGACTGTGTCCACCAGTACTGATGCAGCACGCTCGGAGTTTGTACAAAGTGCCTGGTTTCAAGTGGGTGAAAGTGTATTCTGTAGCCGATCCGCTGTATGCCACCTCCCACTGGCTCGCTGTAAAACAAGACTCGCGTGTGAGTTTTTGCCTCCTGCAAACGAGGAACAGTAGCAGCCATTCCTGAGGGTAACAAGCTCTAAGCGGTTTCCATGAAAACCAGCATCTCCTATTTTCTTTTTTTTTCTTTTTTTAAATAGCCAAGGGCCCTCTCTCCCTTCCCTTCCCAAAGTTAAATATTTAAAATGACACGGAGTCATTTTTCATATTTAGTACTGCAGGCTAGACTACTTAATACCACCATTATTATATTTGCTGACTATGAGGTTCGGATGCTGGAAACCACAGAAACCCGTCGTTGGCACGGGGGGAGGGGTGGGCGGAAACGGAGACAGAGCACAGGGTCAAGCGAGCTGTGAGATGACTGTGGCGAGAGAAGGCCTTGGGGGCCAGCTGGGTAGGGGAAGGCTGCCCAGCCAGGAGGCTCCTGGTCAGTCTGGGACATGCTCAAGAGTCCCTCCTGCTCTCACGTGCTGGAGGGCACGGGGGGTGAAATCTCCCCATCACGCACAGAGTCCTTTGGGGAAAAGCCTGCCGTCTTCACAGAGCTCACGTAAGAGACAAAAATGGCTGGGAGGGTGACGAATTAAAGATGAAGCACTCAGGTGACCTAGTTATCTGGCCACTTCTCGGGACTAAAGAAAGTAAGCAGGGCTGCTGAAGGCTGCAGTGGTCTGACTGCCCGGTAAGGCTGACGCCACCAGGGACAAAGCATCGGGGGCCGCTTCCCCTGACCGCCAGCCCGCCTCGCAAATCTGGGCTGCTGCAGGCTTCCATCCTCTGTGTCGCTCTCCTTACAGAGCCACACGTCTGGGGGACTATTTCACCAAGGCCTTCTCTCCATGAAGTTGTTTCCAAGAAAATATTTTTCCCCATTACCCAAGATACTTTACTAAAGTAAGTTTCCCTTGGCCACTTATTAGGACAGATTTACAATGAAGTCACAGGCACCAGGGCCGTGGGGGCTGTGGGTGGGCACTAAAAAGCGTTATTAGGACATCGCTGGCTAGAAACCTGGGAAGAGGCACATGGGAACAGGGATGACTGACAAGATTCAATTAATCACCCACTTTATGTGCTAGCAAAGCTGTTAACTTTCAGTAGAGAACGGCATCTAGTTTGATTTGATATCATCAGTGGTCAAGAGAGTCACGAAAATGGAAAACATGCTTTCACAAGGAGCCACGGCAGACACCTGACTTCTCTCTTCGGTAGGTTTTTGTAACGTAAAAAACTAAATCAAATTTTTAGCCCAGAAGAGGACTTTATGATGAGAACAGCTGTGCCCACCTCAAAGCATTCTTACGTTCTTAGTTCAAAATAGAAGCGGACCGCCTCGAAAACCAGAGCTCCAGGTGGTCACCGCAAGTAGAGGGCAAAAGAGCAGCCCACGCCTGCCCGGCTTGTTCGCAAAAGTCACCGTTATGAGTGGTTACGGGGATTATCAGAATGGCGAGATAGGTCGTTTTAAAAGTTCTGACAGCTATATTTTTTTCCTATTAAAGCCTAATGAGTTTTACTAGAAAAAAAAGATCGAGTGTTTTTAAAGGCACTTCTTAAGGAATCTGATCTTTAACACTGTACTACTTTAATCCACATAGTGCACAAGTGATGACAGTCTGACTCAGACGTCACAAAGATGGAAAGGCATTTGCTAAACTTGTCAGGAAAGTGGGACTGTGACACTGTCACTCTCTCCCGATAATACGATGTTTTGTTTGCCATCGCTGTACGTGGGAACTTGTCGATTACCAAACTCGCCTGCTCTCTCCACCTTATCCTTCCTGCTGATTGCTTCTGACACTCCCTCTGCTTGTAAGAATTTTCAGAGAAAGTGTGCCAAGACAGGGGATGAAAATTTAATAATTCGATTAATTAGGACCTCTGGCTTAAAGAAAGGACACGGAACATTTAAAAACATGCTAAAAATGTACATTTCAAGCATACCCTGATCCCTGATGCTATGTGTAAAAGAGAAAACTGTAAATATGTGATTACGGTCTATTTGTTGTAATGGCACTACCGGTAGAATTGACGGCTTCCCACTATTACCATACAGATGTTTTAGCACGTTAGAAAGTAGAGGTTGGTACTGGATTTGAGGAAAACAATTTCCTAAAACTTCACCTTCAGAATTTCCATCAGTAATCTCCAGCAAGTACTTGAGTATTTCTGAACCACCATTATCCTTGGGAGGATCTGGAGAGTAAGCAGATGCCTTATTAGTTATGAAAGGGCATAGATTTTTATTAACAAATATCATTAGAAGACAGAAAACATGTCACATTATACTCCTTAATTCTGAATTTAAGCAAAAGGTATAATAATTACTGTATTACTCTTGAAAAACAAAAGAAACAAACAAAACCACCAAGAAGCCCTGAGCGCTATCAGATTATTCGAAGTTCTTAGGTCTAAAACGTCAGAGTTATTTAGCAAAATACGAGCAAAACTCAAACTATGAATTAATTTTTCTTTTTTTAAAATTTTTTTTTTTTTTTAACGTTTATTCATTTTTTTTGGGACAGAGAGAGACAGAGCATGAACGGGGGAGGGGCAGAGAGAGAGGGAGACACAGAATCCGAAACAGGCTCCAGGCTCTGAGCCATCAGCCCAGAGCCTGACGCGGGGCTCGAACTCACGGACCGCGAGATCGTGACCTGGCTGAAGTCGGACGCTTAACCGACTGCGCCACCCAGGCGCCCCAGAATTAATTTTTCTAAGAGTTAAGTTAATAAATCGACTTTGAGAATTCTGAAGCCTGCTCTTTAACATTCAATTTTTATATAAGATGAAATACGTAACTCTTTTATTATTTATTTTATTCTTTACCTCACTTAGATTATCAGTGACCGGATTCTTTTGAGATGGAGAGGGAAGGAAAGAGAAGTGCAAAATTTACTGATAAAATAAACAAGACATCAACACGTAATAAATATGTTCCATCACGGTTTGCCACTAAGCATACTGTATATCCCAAGGGAATCTGATATGCAACCGAATTTGTGAGTCGAGAACGCACCAGACAGGTGGTCTGAGGAAGGGGTGCTGGCTTATTACCAGAGCCCTGTGGACTGTGGGTATTTACTCCACTGTTAACTCCGTCCGCGAGAGTTTTCTTTTCTGAGCAGCAAAATACCTTGCGTTGTAATTTTGTAAGACTATGCAGAAGTTCCCTCTACCATCAGTTTTCCCAAGTCTCTATTTTAGATACAGACTTAGGGACTTCCTGGCCCTTCTTTCGCTTGGTATTTCCATGAATGCATACACATTTCAGTAAGAGAGATTTAAAACAATAATTACAAAGTTAAATATTATAGCATATAGCTAATGAAAGTAAACATTTACTTTCTAGGATTTTGTGAGGAAAAAGCTTCACAATCCGGCAAGAAAAGCACACCTAGATTTTTACAGTTTCTCTTAATCACGTCCATCTTCCAAGGAAATAGATATCCTAATAATTCTGCCTCAAAATTATTAGGTAACTTGAAACAGTTTTATGTCTCAATGGTTGACCTCCAATAACAGTTTAGTAACGTTTTGTGTTGGGGCGCTTGGGTGGCTCAGTCAGTTAAGTGTCTGGCTCCTGATCTCGGCTCAGGTCACGATCTCATGGTATATGATTTCCTGCCCCACGTGGGGCTCTGTGCTGACAATGTGGAGCCTGCTTAGGATTCTCCCTCTCCTTCTCGCTCTCTCTGCTCCTCCCTCATTCTTGCTCTCTCTCAAAATAAATAAACTTAAAAAAAAATGCTCTGTGGGTTTTTTTTTTTTTTAAGACTTTATTTTTATATAATCTCTATATCCAACACAGGGTTTGAATTTACAACCCTGAGATCAAGAGTCACATGCTCTACCGACCAAGCCAGCCAGGAGCCTCTTTAATAATATTTTAAATTCCCTTTATATGACCTGGCTGCCAGGTAAAATCTTATTTTAAGTCTCTTTTTTGGGGTGCCTGGGTGGCTTAGTCGGTTAAGCTTCCGACTTTGGCTCAGGTCATGATCTCACAGTTTCTGAGTTTGGGCCCCGCATCGGGCTCTGTGCTGACAGCTCAGAGCCTGGAGCCTGTTTCAGATTCTGTCTCCCTCTCGATCTGTGCCCCTCCCCCACTCGCACTCTGTCTCTCTCAAAAATAAATAAACATTAAAAAAAAATAAAAAAATAAAAAAATTAAATCCTTTTCTTTTTCCTTTTTCTGTCTTTTAGGAATCTAATACTATTATGACACATTGGTGATAATTATACACATCCCAGCAGTTTTACATATAATTGCAAATCTTTATCAACATTCTAAAGGCATTCACTTCATTGAAATAATCCGAGCTGCAGAGGTGAGCCAGAATATCCTTCCACCAGATACCCTCAAACACCATTTAATGAACTTCAACAGGAAAAATTCCTGAAGTGGGGTGCGCCCCTGGATGGCTCAGTTGGTTGAGCATCTCACTTCGGCTCAGGTCATGATCTCATAGTTCTTGAGTTCGACCTCCATGTTGGGCTTTGGGACAGCACGGAGCCTGCTTCAGATTCTCTTGGCTCCCTCTGACTCTGCCCCTCCCTCACTCATGGGTGCTCTCTCTCTTTCAAAAATAAGTAAACATTTAAAAAAAGAAAAAAAAATTCCTGAAGTTCAAAACTTCCGGTTACATACAAACAACAAAAATGAAAGTTTTCCTAGTTCTTAACTTGAACATTCTGTATGTCAAAATTTACTTAAGATGACATACCTAAAGTTTGAAATTTATTCTCAATATTAATTTTATAAATCAATTTTTCACATTAAATATCACTACCGTTGTTAAGGGCAAGTTACTGAAGAATGAATACACATTCAGAGATTACTACATTCAAATCAGTAATAAAAGTGTAGGAGGCAAAACAATACAGGAACAATCGTAAAGTAAAATGCTCGTAAAATGGACAATTCTAGTGGAATTCTCTGGATGTTTCTGATACATATATTCCAAATCTGTAAAATCCCCACAAATAATACCTCTTATTTCTTATTTTGGTTTGTCACCACTGAAATCAGTTTTTAAAAATCTATCAAAAACAAGCAACAGCAATGGTAGCGAAACATACCCCATTTGACACTAAAGCCATGAGATGTAACTGGTCCTTTGATGAGGGGTCTTGTGGGGGGTCCGGGCCTGTCAGGACTCGTCGTACACACCAGCACTTCACTTGGACAACTCTTCCCTTCCACATTAGAAGCAGTCAGCTATAACACCACGGAAAAAACATGAACATGCTTTAGATGTCACGTATTGAAGAAATGGCAACGTTTTACCAAGGCAAGATCAAGGCATCTGTAAATTCACACAGACAGACATTCCTCCTCTCTCTCAATCTCAAACAACTGATTTACAAGTTATTTCCTTTACGGGGTGCTTATTTTCTGTACAGTTAGCTTTTGACAATTACAAATAAAACACTAAGGTGGGTCGTAGCTAAAGACATTTTTACCCTTTCAAGAAGACATAGAACCAGTATGTTACCACCTAGTTCTTATTGTTTTGTAGGAAGAAATTGGGGGAGGGGAAAGCAGGTAAAAATAACCTTACTTATTTAAGAGCAGGGCAATGCCACCTTGTGGAGAAATGCTAGCAGTATACCCACCTATGTTCTCATGGCACCAAACAGCAAGCGTTTGTTAAATATCAGAAACTGTCATTTTCCTCAAATAGTCACACACTTCACTTGGTGATCTAACAACTGTTTACTGAATGACTACTACATGCCAAGCTACATCATTTGGCCTCCAAATCAGAGAAGGAAGGGTAGAATCAAAAGATAAATTTCTCTCTCCAAACCACACACAGTCCTATCAGAAAACCCAGTGCTGTGCGTGGATCAATAAAGGGTGCCATGGCAAAGGATGCTATTTACTGCTTTTCCTCTCTCTCTCTTTTCTAAATGTTTATTTTGGAGAGAGAGAGAGACAGAGCAGGAGGAGGGGCAGAGAGAGAGAGAGGAAGACACAGAATCCGGAGCAGGCTCCAGGCTCTGAGCTGTCAGCACAGAGCCTGACGTGGGACTCGAACTTGTGAACCGTGAGATCATGACCTGAGCCTAAATCGGATGCACTACCAGCTGAGCCACTCAGGTATATCCCTGCTTTTTTCCCTCTCTTATCAGTTGCAAAGCTTTGTTTCTTGTTACAACACAAAGTCCTATGGTCATATTAACAGTGGTTGTTAACCGCCAAAGCAAAGCCTAAGTAGGGAGGGAGTGGGTAATGGAAGACAAAAGGAAAGAAATGGGCAGAACAGCAAAGAAGAGGGAGAGTAAAAGAGAAATCTAATAAAAAGGAGAAACATCAAAAAGTGGGGGAGAGATAGGTGCACTGAGCATTCAGTTTGGGTGCTCCTGGGTGAGGGCATCTGGCCACGCTGTAATGTAATTTGTTACAGCACACGACAGTAGCTTTCTCTCTCAAAACTAGGGTTTAAAATTAAAGTATGGTGTGCATTTTGTGTCACTTTAGAAATGTAAAGTGCAGGGGCGCCTGGGTGGCGCAGTCGGTTAAGCGTCCGACTTCAGCCAGGTCACGATCTCGCGGTCCGTGAGTTCGAGCCCCGCGTCAGGCTCTGGGCTGATGGCTCGGAGCCTGGAGCCTGTTTCCGATTCTGTGTCTCCCTCTCTCTCTCTGCCCCTCCCCCGTTCATGCTCTGTCTCTCTCTGTCCCAAAAATAAATAAACGTTGAAAAAAAAAAAATTTAAAAAAATAGAAATGTAAAGTGCAGGGAACTTCAAAATTTTCTTAACGGACAGAGTCCGTTTGAAATGGTAAATGGGTAAAACATGCAACTGCTTCTTTTTTCAAGCAGTTCAGGTACCAAAACGATTGACTCACCCTGAATTTATACTGTGTGCTTCTTTTGAGATTTTTCACAGTACAGGTTAAATCCTCTCCAGTGTATTTTGGGTGGAAAAGGTTATCCTGCAAAAACAAAGCCAGAAAGAGACATCAGTATCATGAAATCTGGGCATTAAATACTTTTGTGTATGGGATCTTTCTATTGCCTCTTTCCATCACCACCGGCTGCCAGAGGTCTGTCTGGCGGCTACGGCAGAAAGGGGAGTCGGAGTCCACGGTGCTGTGTACCGTGCTCCAGCTTCAAGTAAAAAAAATAATCTTGTCTCATTGTAGGTTCTGCTGGGTCTGTACAACTTTCTTGTGAGGCTAATAGCAACAGGAATGAGAACAATGCTCTCTCTTTGAGAGGATGTAAATTTGCTTTGGAATGGATGCCACCATATGCTTTCCTTACAGAGGAAAGGTTCCTCAATAAGTATTTTCAATAAAGAATTAAGCCACCAAGTAGTACTATGTGACAAAGCAGTGTACATTTTAAAAATACATATTTAACGTTATTATCAAAAAAGCCTCTTCTTTTGCGGTCTTCGCTGTCCAGCTGCAATGTGCTATGTGATACACAGAGGCTGAGGTTTCTGACCACACAGTGTCCTCTTCTGGCCAAGGAAGAAAGGACACCTGGGATGGGAAAGGCATGATCCTTTTAAGAGGATAAATATCCCACTAAAAGCTGAATGTACTGAATTCATTCAACTGTATTCTCAATCATCCGTCCATCCGCTCAATCATTAAATATCACCGAGCACCTTCTACGCATCAGGCTTCCTTCCATGTTCTAGGGGTTCAGCAGTGTCCAAGAACAAAGACTTGCCCACAAGAAACTTACATGCCAGGTAGACAAAGTGATTCAAAAATGAAACGGATCTAACTATGAAGCATTTTATGCGGTATTAAGTGCTGTGGCCCAAAATATCAAGTTGGGTCAAAAGACCGAGGGGCGGATCTAGTGAGGTGCTACTCTATAGCTGTGCAGGTTAACTAAAGCAGCCACATGGGGTCTTTAAATTTAAACTAAATACAGTTGAAAATTCAGTTCCTTGGCCCCACAGCCATATTTCAAGAGCTCAATCATCATGTGTGACTAGGCACTACCTTTATCGCATAGCACAAACCACAGAACATTTCCATCACTGTGGAAAGTTCTACTGGATAGTACTGTTATACAAGGCAGCCAGGGGAGGGCTCTCCACAGAAGACATGTGAGAGAAGAGATCCTCAAGGAAATGAGGGAAAAGAGTCAAAGATAAGTGGAAGGGCCTTCTAGCTACAGGGCATGGAAACTGCAAAGGCCCTGAGGCTAGGGCTTGCTCTCGTGTTCAAACACACAAGGGCAGAAACAAGGACATTAAAGAAAAATCCTATAGCAAAGAACCTTATAGGCATTGTAAGGGCTCTGAGGTGAAGGCCCAGAGATAGGAAGGGTTCTAGGCAGAGCATCGACAGGATCTACTCTATTGAACAGATCTCTCAGGCTTTGTGTGGAAAACAGACTATAGCAGAGAAGGAGGAGGGTAGGGAAAATACTTAGAGACCACTGCAATTATTCAGGGATGAGACAATGGTGGCTTGCGAAAGGACAGTAGCCTTAGATACTAAGAAATGGCCAGATTTCTGGTTGATTTTTGAAGCAAGATTGAAAAGGATTTGCCGACTGATTCTACAGATGGGTTCAAGGACAACTCCGAATTTTCTGGCTTCCCCGAACAAAAGGACAGGAATGTCACTGAGACAGGGATGACTGTGGCAAGGACAGATTGCTGCCGGTGATGGTAGTGGTAGGTATTGAGACTTTGGTTTTGAACCAAACGTAATTTGAACATAATTTGATGGCGTCCTGTTACGTTAACGACAATGTGACTTACACAAAACACACGCAAGGGTACAAAATCTACAAAGCTTACGTTTTCATCCTCCTGGATTTCCAAGGTGTAGGTGACCACTTCCTCAGGTGAACAACCTTCTGGTTTATTCCACTGCAACGTGACCCATGTGACTCCAGCTCGAACAAGTCTTGGTGCAGAGGGCATCTGAGGGATGTTTCCTAACGTGTAACATACCACCTCTTGGCTATAACCACTACAGAGAGATAAACCCAGTAAGACGCACATTTAGGAACATGTGAGGAGTCTTGGCATTTAAAAAAAATTTTTTTTTTTACGTTTATTTATTTTTGAGAGAAAGAGAGACAGAGTGCTAGCAGGGGAGGGGCAGAGAGAGAGGGAGACACAGAATCCAAAGCAGGCTGCAGGCTCTGAGCCGTCAGCACAGAGCCCGACGCGGGGCTCGAACTCAGGAGCTGTGAGATCATGACCTGAGCCGAAGTCGGACGCTCAACCGACTGAGCCACCCAGGTGCCCCAGGAGTCTTGGCATTTTATTTTTTTTATTTTTTATTTTTTAAAAAATTTTTTTTTTTAACGTTTATTTATTTTTTTGGGACAGAGAGAGACAGAGCATGAACGGGGGAGGGGCAGAGAGAGAGGGAGACACAGAATCGGAAACAGGCTCCAGGCTCTGAGCCATCAGCCCAGAGCCCGACGCAGGGCTCGAACTCACGGACCGCGAGATCGTGACCTGGCTGAAGTCGGACGCTTAACCGACTGCGCCACCCAGGCGCCCCAAGGAGTCTTGGCATTTTAAAAGAGGAAGGATGAGCCTACCTACTGCCCAACTTGCTTGGGTTGGAAAGGCCGGGGCATGACAGATTCAGCAAACAAAGGAAGGCAAGTATCCTTTATGTGATATCCCCTACCCCAACTCTCGGTCTGCCTGATTCCCCACTTCACTCTGCTACTAAAAAAAGCACACCACATCACAGGACAATATATTTAAGAATTGATTTCCCCCTGAAAGCACCCAGCAGAAAGCACAACACTGTGCAGTGTTACTAAGCTATGACCCACAGCTACCAAGGAACCTTCAAATCAGTGTGAGCACAGATAATTGTCTGCTGATGAAATAAATGTTTTACAAATACAGACGGGGCTAGTTTTTGAAAGTTTGTGGGTGCTTCCGATTCACTTACAAACTCTTGAAGCCTTTAGCATTATGACTTTTTCAACTAGTAGACTCTAAAAATGCAACAGCTATCATGGGTGGGGACAGAGGGCTGTAAAACCTTGTGATGTTCTTGAGGCTGGAAAAAAGCTTGGGGACCAATGATGTGCTGAACCTTTAAGATTTTCAATGAGCAGTGATGAAAGACGAAGGATTTTTCCCTTAATCAAGAGTTACCCAGGAAGTGCAATTGAAATATGGCCTTTTCAAAGCCTCTTTAATCCACAGACGCTCCACTGGACACCTGCTCTTGCCTTTCTTCCGCAGCCTGGAGGCAAGCTGTGGTGCCCTGGCCGGTCCAGGTTTTCTCAAATCCTGTGAGTATCTGCCAGGGCTTGACGACAATGGCTGGCCCAGCACCCCTTCCTCTCTATCAGGCAACCTCAGATACAACTGGAAAAGGCAGCTGAACAAGTAGCTTGCTAAAGTGATGAAAGGAAACAGCGCGTGTTCTGAAAAAAAACAACGCCTTAAGAGGTATTTCTTTCAAAACCTAAACTGCTGCCTTCATCTTGGCTCTCAGAGACCCCTAGTGGGGCCTTGGCATTACAGCGTGTGAGACCACAGAGGCCACACAGCAGCACTCCTCACCTCCGGGGAAGCCTTCTACCCTCTCATTCGATTCCCTCTAGGAAAATCTCAAATCGGTCCAGTGTGGAGGCGGTGGATGTCTTCATGCCTTCCAGCAACACGAGAGGAAGACACAGAATCACCACACGGTACGTTTAACGGCATGAGGGCGAGGGAACATCCTACCTGGTGCCAATGTCATTCCGAGCAGCCAGCCTGAACGTGTACCCCATGGCCGGACAAAGCTTTGTCAACTTGCAGTGCTTCTGACTTCCAAAGAAGCACTGTCTGAAACCGCTGTTTCTTTTTCCCTAAAAGAAAACAGTACAACAACGTACACGATTAAAAACAAAGCATACAGTAGGAAAATGAGTAAGGCATTTTGAACAATTGTTTCATTTCCTGGTTTGGATGAACAAAACCAGCAGAAGGAAAGCTTCTAGGGGCGTGTTCCTTTGTACATAAAGCACATGACAATGAAATGTCATCCTTAACATGAAACACTACAGAAGAGGCTGTAACTGAGACAAGTAACACATTGTACTTGTGGTCCTTCTAAAGTGGCTTCGGTTAACAAAATAAAAAAGGTTCTCTCAGGTACGAGGCAATACACCATTCCTTCCTTCCTTCCTTCCTTCCTTCCTTCCTTCCTTCCTTCCTTCCTCCCTCCCTCCCTCCCTCCCTCCCTCCCTTTTAACATTTATTCATTTTTGAGAGACAGAGACAGAGTGTGGGTGGGGGAGGAGCAGAGAGAGAGGGAGACACAGCATCTGAAGCAGGCTCCAGGCTCCGAGCTGTCAGCATAGTGCCCGACGCAGGGCTCGAACCCACAAACTTTAAGACATGACCTGAGCCAAAGTTGGACACTTAACTGACTGAGCCACCCAGGGACCCCAACGCACCTTTTCTAAGATCTTCCTCACTTGGGTTGGTCAAAGTGCCCAATCTGACCAACCAAGAGCAAGTCTGCCCTCACTGCGGGGATCGACAGTTCTGGAGACGCATAGCACCTAAGATCTGTCTATGCAGCTTGGTGTGGCTAGAAAAGCCCTCCCCAGTCCTCTCCTTTCCCACTTTGCCCCCCGACCCTTGAACACTTGCATTCCTGCAATGGTGAGCTATTTCTCACTGATCCCTAAATATGGGTCACATGCCTTTGTATCTTGCCCATATCTGCTTCCCTTGTAACAGTGCTTTGGACAATCAAGAGAGCTCAATCGCTGCTTGCAGAGTTGAAAGTCCGATAGGCATGTGGAACAATGGCTGAATTCACTTCTACGTGTTATCGTTACTCTTAAGTGTCTTATGAGGCTGGAAATATATATTTAATGCCTTTGTAGTCTTCCATGATGCTTCAAATTCTTTGAAGTAAAACGAAAACACTCCAGTAGGTTGTCTTTTTTTTTTTTTTAATTTTTTTTTTTTTTCAACGTTTATTTATTTTTGGGACAGAGAGAGACAGAGCATGAACGGGGGAGGGGCAGAGAGAGAGGGAGACACAGAATCGGAAACAGGCTCCAGGCTCTGAGCCATCAGCCCAGAGCCCGACGCGGGGCTCGAACTCACAGACAGCGAGATCGTGACCTGGCTGAAGTCGGACGCTTAACCGACTGCGCCACCCAGGCGCCCCTCCAGTAGGTTGTCTTAATAGACTTAAAAGAAAAAAACTTAACTGCCCTGACCCATGCTCAGGCATGGAATCCTCATATCAGCCATATAGTAGAACAAATATTTCATACCCATAACCCACGGCATTTTATCTATGTTCACACAAAGAAAACCTTTTACATGCTAACACTGAATGGATCTTAGCATTCTAATCAGACGGTTGGGCCCAGGGCCCTCAGAAATGTTTGAAGTTCTCGATTTATTTTATAAAGAAAGATGAAAGCACATTTTCCTCCTAAGCAAATTTAAGCATTTCCTTCCTCGAAGCGGGCCTCCAAATGCTTACCACTGAAACACATTCCAGGTGAAGTTTAATTAAAAATAAAATAAACATACAACTAGCTTGAAGTGTCACGAGGGTGAACAGATTAAAAAACAACCCTGGCACGTTCATCCTCAGACTTAATTCCCCGGCCTCCCCTCCCCGAGCAAGGTGATGCCCTTTCCAGGAAGGGAGTGGAAGTCCTATTAATCTTTAAGATTCAAAGTTCATATTATCAAGGTTTCAAAGTACATTCAGATGCAAACAGTAAGGCATAACATTTTTCAGCTGCTACTTGTGCAAAGTCACCGCGTGGCTGGCCTATCACGCCCTTATGCTTACTTTAACCTTGAGTGTTAAGGTTGCTGCAGACGATGTATTCATAGAAAAACCGTTCATACATACATTTGCATAATTACATCCAGTGTCTGATTACACTCCTTGCACACCCTGGTATGTTTTGTATCCACTTTGAGCTGTAGTGTGATCTACCTTCTTTCCTCCTCTATTTCTGAGCTCAGAGTAAACAGTGCAAGAAAGGCACATCCTGCCGCCACGGAAGCCTCATGCCTTCCAAACCCCGATGCTGGCTCCCTTTCAATGCCTCATTTTTCCTATTTCTTTGTTTGGTCTCCTTTGCCCATTTCTGGTGCTTAGAACTATAGCCAGTAAATAAAAGCCAGTCTGTTCCTTACTAGGTTGATTTGCTTTAATATGGTAAAAGCCGGACTGTCTGCGGCTTAAATGAGAAAAAAGAATGGGAAAGATGGATGATGGGGACTAGACTTTTCTTTTAAAGGGCCACAGCACTGGGGCTCACTAAAGAATTAGAAGAGGCATTCTGTAGCCTTCAAGACGTTTTCCCTATGTTGCTAACATTTTTTTTTCCTGCTTCAGTATGAGGCACAATTGCTAAATAAACTCCAACTTGTTTAGATAGAGGACCCCAAATTTTCCACCTTTCAAGATGTGCTACTATGTGCGTGGTCCTTAACAACCTGTAGAAGACCCAGAGTTGCTGGAACCTTAGAAACAAGCTTTAGAAACACTATCTGTAGAGTCCGAAGGGGTAAGAGTACACAGAGTTCACAGAATGAAGGAAGTGAGGCTCACTGGTAAATGTTTAGAAGTCATCGAGAATAAGCAAAAATAAGGGAAAGTAGGTGAATAAAGTACTTCAAACATGAGAGAAGCTTTTGAGTAAAAGGAAATACTCATGTATGATACGGAGTTTAATATAAAAGGGATATCTGGGAAGAAAAAATTGATATTCACACAAGCTGTTATAGCGCAAAAGCGAACTACAGCTGAGAGGTTAGCCAGCGAAGCTGGAGAATGCCATGGGAGACAGCATCCCCGTGGTCTTCTGGGACAGACTGTGCCAGGCTCTCAGAGAGCTCCGGGGCTTGGGCTCTGGAGGAAGAACATGTCCAAAGGTACAGGTGATGTGGAGAATCTGTCTGGAAACCAAGAAGGAGGCCACGTTGCAAACAGCATTTGTGAATAAAATATTACCCAGCTCTTTTTGTTGACAGAAATGAATAGGGTTTAAGAAAAAAAAAAAAAAAAA